AATGGGTTAATGAACAATTTAGTAGGTGAATAGGCAATTCCAGCTTTTAGTTTATGCATGCAGGGGATGATGGGAAGTAAAGTATAATATTGCTGTTTATGCTGAAAAATTTCATTAAAAACTGCTGAAACAACTATTTGAGATACACAATTAGATATTTCACTATTTACAAATATAAGCTGTCACTCTGTGTTTCACTGCCGCCAGTTTTTTTTTATTTTTTCAGCATAATCAGTGATATCATACCTTACTCCCGTCAACCTCTGCACGCATAAACTAAAAGCTGGAATTGCCTATTCCAACAAGTGTGATAGAGCATCAGATGGTGCTGGTATACTCAGTACTGACAGTTATCAAAATGAGAAAATGATTTATATGCTTTCCAAGATGTATTACCGGTCATTATTTATGGCAAACTGAAAAATAATACTTGTTTTAGGTGTGGTGGCCAAAAAATCTTGCATGCAGAGGTGGGGTAAAAAAATAACCTTACTTTAATCACACACAATACAATATAATATATACTACCATCAGAGTTTAATATGTGATTATTCTAATTTTTTAATAAAATATTGCTTTCCAAAATGTTGACAGAAACACCTCCCTCAACCCACCCGTAAAGGGTTATTTTTATATTCATTTACACACAAAATCTCCAAAGACTCCAATTACCAGACAAAATATTATACTGCCTATATATACAGTAGGGGCTGTTTATATGGTGCAACTGCAAGCCAACTCCAGCTAGGGTACTCAAGTTGGCCAGTTTTGGCAAAATCCTGCCTTTGTAATTGTTATTTCTTACTAAAGTTCACCTTGTGCATATATGGGCAAAGAGCGGGCCCATCTATAGCTAAGCGAGATCCCGCCTCTTTAGCCCGAGATCTTGCCTCAAGAAAAGTGACCTTAAGTCTGTACACTAGATAGCCCCTAACCCCGGGCAACCATCCTCGCCTCCATATTAACATGCCCTTATTACATATCTCAAAAAGTATATGTAGAGTCTGTTAAATTTTCAGGATTTAATTTTTGGGCATCTACACTTGATACTGTACAATAATATTTATATCCAGTATGTGCTTGTAAACCATATGTGGACAATTCAGGTAGCAAATCATGAAATATGCCCCTTGTGAATCTGGAGAATCATTCCAATGGTTAGTTCATAATATGTTCAGCTCAAACATTGTTCTGAGTCTTTGGCAACTAGTTGTTTTTCTTTATACTAGCAGATCATATAAATGGATAAAATAATCATGGATAAAATAAGAGAAATCCATTTACCCGTTTTACAGATTAATTTAATTGTTTATATAATCATACTTGGAAATCAGATGAATATCTTTATCTTCACGTTGTATAACAGCAATTTTTTCTCATTAATTTACAGTAACATCATTTTCTAAATTCGGATATTTTCACATGGGACATATACTTTAGTATCGTTGTATTGTTTACAAATTAAAATATTAAATTGTTCATGAACTTCAAGAATTCCTTGGGAATTCTTAAGGATTTCCTTTGAAATTCCGTGATAATACATATATTATAGTTATCTAAATATAGTAAGGAAATGTTCAAGGAATTTCAGAGGAAATTTTAGAATTTTGATAGTTGCAATCATGGGTGAGCACACGTTTTGTGAAACTGTTTCAACATAAAATTACATTTTAATTAATAAAGAAATGCAAGAATGTGAAAGAAACCAAATTATATACAGTGAAACTTTAAAGTGGGAAAGAGATAGGTGGTGAAATACGGTTAGTGTTCTAAAATACTGAAATATATGCTGTACAGGTTTCATATCAGTGCATGGTTAATATATGTGACTAGCTTTGTTTATGGGACTAGCATTACACTATCTTGTGAAAACTGAAAAGGGAATACAACGTTGAATACAAAGTATAAAAACCCATTCATATTTCAATTTTACAAGTAGACAAATTTTAAGCCTTTAGATAACTATAATTCTTTATATAGTACCTTACTATTCAGGGGTAACCCATATAATAAGGCATGACTGTTAGTGTGCTTTAATTACTCTACAGGAAATAAGGGATAAGGCGGATATTGGTAAACCAGTATTACCAATCAGTCCTATTCCCTTTTAATTATAATTAATGGCCACTGTGGTCAAAGCACCCTATAATAATTATTATTTACTCTCTAACAGCAGAGGGCAATTTTGTACCTTGATGAGTAATACACAATTGTCATACAAAATACTAAACTGTTTCATTACATATTTTATGTCTGAACCTTTGACATTGCAACAAAACATGCAGGTTTGGGTGAGGTAAAAAAATTTTCTGGCATTTCACCGGTGGGGTAGCTAGAAATTTTGTTTTGAAAAAGGTGGGGTATTGATTTTTCCGGCTTCATTATACTTTCCCTTTGGCCCCCACCCCTACCATAAATAATGACCAGTCCCTAATACTCAAATATTTGATAGCAAGAAAATCCAAAGAATTATGAGAAATACATCAGTTTAATTTTCAAGCAGCTTCTGCAATAACTAAAACATACACTTAACAAAACTTTCCAATACTTTTACTCATCATTGCGGAATAATTCAGTGAGACATTGTTACCCATTAAGTAGCAAGAGTTTGTCGTGCATTTGTAAATTCATTGAGCCTTAGACCACAATTAGCCATTTCCGAATCGACAATCCGCATAACATCTATGGATTGTTTGGAGGGACAAAACAAAGTGGGAAGAAACTTTATGAGTTAAAATTGGTGCAAGAAAGTTTGAAAGATGCCTATTATCTCTAAACAAATTTCCTAAAAGTTGTTTACACTATTGGATGTATTGGTTCTGTGTCTTATGACTGGCGATGTCTATTGCACTATCCCTCCAAACAATCCACACATGCATGCTTTGCAGTCTCAATTGGAAAATGGCTGATGCTCTATGATTATTTACTACTTTGTCCAATGCTGGACATTATATTCCTCATCAAAGGTAAACCTTTTCAACTTTCAACCAGAGTGTATGCCAACACATAAAGGTTATACCTATAGATCATGCAACACAGTTGTTTCATTGTGACTACTTCACTCTGCTTTGTTTTTAAACCAGATGGAAAGCCTTGTACATAGGCCTTTTAGGCTTATGGTTTAATGTGTTAATTAGCCTTTATGTGGTGATCCCTTCCTCTAAAGGAAAGGGTTCACTGCATGTATGCAAAATAATGCCATATAGTTTTTAGGGTATCAACTCTTTATGTCTAACTCTCAACTCTTTTTTGAATTTTTTCTGCTGTCGGATTTCCATCAGCTGGTCATCATCTGGAATGGTAACCTCATAACCCTGGAAATGGCTATTAAAACAGATGGTATCTAGTGGCTTCATCACAAACTGGATTGCTGCAAGATTTTTGGCAACAACTACAATTAAATTGCTAATCTTCCAAAACCTTTGCATGTCATCATCATCATAACCACTATGTCGATGGCATTGCATCTGTATTTATGTACCGGTACATAATTTTTATTCTGTCTAAAAGTTGAAAGCCAGGGGCCGGTTGTATCAAGGATATTTAGCTCAACTATCAAACAAATCCATGAACTATAGACCACAATCAAACTAATATTTTCTGTCCAAACATAACAACCATGCATTGAACTACACATTTCGTTGATAAAATTGAAGTTCAATTTTTTACAAAATGAATAGGAATGTTTTGAAATTTGTGCTTATCCACCGTTTAAGCTAATTCGCCTTTGAAACAACCGGCTCCTGGTTATCCTAACCCATTGAGTGGCGATGCACCCTGATGCACCCTACTTTAGTATTTTACTCTGCCTAACGCCAGACAATTTTACTCATCAAGGGGAGAGCGCTGGCACTTAATGGGTTAACCCGCCTATCTGCCCATATGTCTAGTTAACCTATTCAGTGGCGATGCTCCCTGATGCACCCTACTTTAGTATTTTACTCTGCCTAACGCCAGACAATTTTACTCGTCAAGGGGAGAGCGCTGGCACTTAATGGGTTAACCCGCTTATCTGCCCATATGTCTAATTAACCTATTCAGTGGCGATGCTCCCTGATGCACCCTACATTAGCATTTTACTCTGTCTAACGCCAGACGATTTTACTCGTCAAGGGGAGAGCGCTGGCGCTTAATGGGTTAACCCGCCTATCTGCCCATATGTCTAGTTAACCTATTCAGTGGCGATGCTCCCTGATGCACCCTACTTTAGTATTTTACTCTGTCTAACGCCAGACGATTTTACTCATCAAGGGGAGAGCGCTGGCGCTTAATGGGTTAATATAAGCAAAATCTTGTTTTATCAAATTATCCATTGCTAGATGGCATGCAAAATAACAACACAGCATTGCCAAGAATTTGTATTCTTGTTGGAATTTCCTATATTGAGCACTTACTATATTTCACTCTGTCTAACAATTTGGAACTAATTTGATAAAGGAACATGGCAATAATGCCTCATAAAGGCCACATGCATGATATTGTTTTGGTTCAGTTTTTTATACACTATGCATGGATAGACTTTAATTGGCAAAACTACAATGGTGACAGTTTTGTAAATAAGTTAATATTGAGGAAGATAATTAATTGTATAATGTTTTGATAGATATTTTCAACGTTAAATTTTATTAAAGTTAAAATATAAACTGGTTTTTGTTATTAATACCTTGTATACTTATAGTATATTCACAATATTCCGAGGACTATAGTTGTTGTACAGGTATTTTCATCGTTTGCAATTTGTCAATTACTGGTAACTTGTTTTAGTCTTTCAGAAAGCAATGATATCTCAGAACACAAGACTTTATGTGACAATTTCGATATATTTTTATTGCAAATGAAACAAAAATATTAAGCAAACGTCGATTGTATCCGTGCATGTGATTCATTGACTTTTAATACAGTAATAGTATTAAAGTTATATACTTCCGTGTATGTGCATGTGCATTTATGGATAGCGTGCTACAATAACGTGGTCGTACTGTAATTCCTTCGCAGTTGCCAGTTGCTATGCAACCAACACATCGATATTTTAATATATTGATCCTCAAAGGAAATGTTTTTTAAAAGACGATAGCATAAACTAAGATATAAATGGAAGGTAAGTTTCTGACATTCGAAGGAAGAAATAATTTTTTAACCCCTGAAACGGAGTTAGATTTATTTAACTCCTTAAAAGGTGTTATATTTTAACACCCAATGAGTGTTATTTTAACTCCAAAACTGGGGTTAAATTTTAACACCTTAATTGGTGTTATTTGTAACCCCTAAAAAAGGATTATTTTAGACTAAACGTCGTAACCCCTCTTTTTGGTGTTAAAATAACACCCCGAAAATAACAGTGTGCGTAGCTATTTTTATTCCTCCATCTGACTCGGCTTAATTAAAACGCCATGGATTTTGTAATTTTCGTTTGTTCATGTATAGCAAACTACTGGACTTTCCAGAAATGCCGTCCATGATGCGGCTACATAGGTATATAGTACACTAGGTTGGAAATTTTATGTTATTTCGTTGTTGCTAATGTATTATGCGAAAAATTAAGTCGAATCTTTGGCGGATAATGTGACATGATTTAGCAAATTTTGTGCAGTGTCGTACTTAACTTAAGCCTGTTTTTCGAATTTCATCGCATGAATCGAATTTTTATTGCTAAAATTGAAAATAATTTATTAAAATTCTAATTATAATTCCAGTCTAGAGCTTATAAGATAAAAGATTCGCACGACAAATTTCGCTAGTGGAAAACAAACTTTAGTTATTCAAACTTCAGTTGCAAGAATTCAATTGATTTAGGGGTCGATCTACTGCCGCTTTCAATCGTTCTAGACTATTACATTCTGAGCGCAGCAAAATCCGCTTTCGAAACTGGCAAGCCAGGTATATTATTAATTAAGATCAATATTTATTACTGTGGACTACATTGAAACTGTTTTATGCTTGTTTTGATACAATTGTATGCGTAACATAACGACTTTCAGTTATTCGGCCAGAATAATAATGTAGTAACTTAAGCGAATTTAGTTGACGCTAAGCTGACGCTATTCAACGACGGAAGCGGCAAGCTCGCGGATGTATATTTTCAACCATCTTTTAACATTCGAGAAACCTTTTGCTCAATTTATTGTTGCAATATTTCACCGCGACATTTTCGACGCTACTCTAATAAAATTGCAAGAATATTTAATATTGCAAAGGGTGGCGAACTCCTATATTAACTGCTGTCCGTAACACTAATACTGTAATAGTGTTTTTTGTAAATCCTACAAGACAAAGCGGTTTCAGATATTAAACACCTACAAAGCCAGCTTAAACAATGTGAATATATTCTGTAAGCAATTAGTTGAATGGCTTCGTGAACGTATTTGAATGTTTTGAGCCAAACATTGAAACGATTTAGCAACATTTTTCAAACGTTTTTCTCCAACCGTTTGAACGGTTCAGCCAGACGTTTGAACGATCTCAAAAATCGTTTCAACGGAACGCTAAAGCGTTTAAACGGATAACGAACGATTTTTCAGAACGTTTTTCAAAACCGTTAACGTACGTTTTCCCAAGGAGGGTCACATTTTATAGCAATGTCAAAACCCGAAGGATGAGAACATTTCCGTGTTTACAAGCGGCGGAAAATTTCCCGTGTTGACATTGAGTTATATCAACACGGCTCTTAGCCAATCAGCGTTCAGAATTTACAAATGCTATAATTATTATAATGTGTTATTGTGTACAAAAATTTCCAGTGTAAAAATGTACAAGAAATGAAGCGAAGTATTATTTCACATTGCACTCCTGGGCCACAAATTATGTGGAATGTTACTTTGAACTCGTCACATGCTGCATCTTATATAATTGATGTGGATCAAAACAAAAAACGTAAACAAAGCCCGCGCATCCGCAGAAGGGACTGTAACCTACCTTTAACAAACGAAACTAACTTTGTTTTTATAACAATCTATCACTTCATAAATTGTGTAAACCACTTTTCATTCTTTTTGTCTTGTAAGAACGGTTAGGTTTTTTCTCCGTATATAAACCGACTTTGTAGCTAACAGAACGAATTCGAAATGTAACTGGTAGCGTGAAGGCCCCGTTGTTCAACTATTTACCGTCAATTTTTTCTTATCGTTGGTACTTTAATCGCCCTGTAAAATTATTATAATGGTAATACAGTTGATATTCGTGGACTTAAAAATGTTTTTGGCCCTCCTCAGAAATCGTTTTGATTTAACTCTCGGGCCAAAAAATATTTATGGTCAAGAACATCAACTCTTGACTATTAATTACGGGAACCACTCAGTATTTTAAGAAAATACAAAATAACAGTAACTCCGAATAACACTTTGATTTTTAATCGACGTTTCGACTAGTTTGTACAAACTAGTTGAAACGTCGATTAACACAAACTAGTCGAAACGTCGAATAAAAATCAAAATGTTATTCGGAGTTACTTTTATTTTGTATTTTCTTGACTATTGTTAATTATACTAGAAATACAAGCATGCAGTAACCTCTCGCCAATATTTTCAAAACACTAAATTAACATGAAGTATTCAGAAATGGCCGACAATGAACGCAGGCTCGCACAAGTGTTGCCATGACAACACGATATTCTTAAATTTTTAATTTTTTCATATTTTTGTACAAAACTGCAAAATCGTTGAAAGATTCGTACTTTTAACCATACAACAATAAATTTCCGAAATATACACTGTAGGTATATTATTTTGCATTTTGTGAGCTTTGATTTAATGTAAAATTTAACTTGAAACGCCTCGTAAAATGTTTTGAAATGTTCATTCAACTAAACTACATTTGCAGATAAACTATTTTCACTTAATAAAACATAATAAGTTTAATACAAATAAAAAAATTGTTAGGTAATTTTAGTTCAGCCTTCAAATCAATTTGTTCAAATTATACGGTAATTTATGAAACTTAGAGCATCGTTGAAAAGGAAAACAGTTCATGTTTTTAGGCAAAAAGTTAAAGCAACAAAATTCGTAAACATTAAATATTCAAAGCAAACTTGCCGTATATGTATTTCACGATTTCCCATAGTACATCAATTCTTCTCATTTCTTCAAACAAAATTGCTTCAAGCTTGTTACTCCGGGTACTGTAAGTACCGGAGTATTAAAATGTCAGATCTTTTTTCTTAGGCGACACAAGTGTACACTTCCACAGGTGCACCGTACGCAACGCACGCAACGCACTACAAAAATACGAAATATCTAAAAATAGCCGCCATTCGTAGTAAGGTCGGAGCGAGCGTTGTGTTTACAATGTTTTTAGTTCTATTTACAGTAAATATTATCAAATGAAGCGTTCTCATACACTCGTTTTTATACAGTGACCACAGTTCATATAAATACAAATCGAAATTCGAGACTTTATCGCGTGTTTAGTAGCGGTTGCCGTTATTGCAAAGCTAGTTCTGATCGACAAATGGCTTGGTTCGTCACTGACGTTAGCCTGTATTTTTTAATTGTGTCAACACTATACGTAGTTAAATTGTATTAACACTCGTCTTCTTTAAGTCTCCCTTTGTGCCTCCGACTGCCTCGTGGCCAAAATTGAAGTACAAACAACGCACAAATCTATTCGACATATGACATATCTGAAAGTCTTCGATTCGCAAGGCAATTTATATCGCAAACCACAGCAATATTGGCAATATTGTCTACCACGCTTGAATTAGACAAAAGCGCATATAAAATATATTTAACTAGATAGCTTTACCCAACACTATTACGTCTATTACACAGTTTAATGTTTTATTTATAGAGTATTAAAAATCGGTCTCGACGGCTGCAATGTCTTGGTCTTAAAGTAAAATCATTACTAAGATGCTTAAAACAATCTAAACGTTTGATAATAAGAAACTTACAGCGAAGCCTTACAAATTAAAACAATCAATCTGTATAAACAAAATATCAACATAACACTAGTTAATTACGAGTTATGGTGCCAGTTATGAACTTACTACCATGCATTGAAAAAGTGTTGACAATTAACTATATGACACGACTAACAATATATTACTTTTTAAATAATTTTCTTTGCGTGTTTGATAAATGTGGTTTGTTTACGTTTACGTAATTCAGTTGCAGGTGTTTTTCTCGAGGGTCGTGGGCGGGAAGCGAGGGTCGAAAAATCATATATAAAACGTCGAGGGTCATATAAAAAAGTCGAGGGTCATCAGTAAAAAGTCCGGGGTCGTATTTCTAAAATATTTTATGGTTTTTATTGTCGAGGGTAGAAATTTGCGGGCATTCCCTATAGATAAATTTGCAAGTGGGGCAAGCACGATAGCGAAAACAATACTTTCAAGATGGCGTCGCGAACCCGGAAAAGGCGTATGGCAATGGCAAGGTGTAAACAAGTCCTGATTACTCTGATTCAATAGACCATATAGTGAATAGACAGTACAATAATTTGCGACATGCAGTCCGAGATAACGCAGATAATGCACCACGCCGTTTGAAACTATATCTCGACTGTAGCTTTTGATCGGCATGTCTGTTTTCATGTAGTAATATTTTATCATATAAAAAGTAATCGCATATAAAAAATTAATAATTGCATATAAAAATAAGAGCTAAAAATTAAAAGTAAACTAAATGAACACGAGCTAAAATTATTATTTTGTTAAATTATTAAAATGTATACCCTCAAGCTTTTCACCCACAAATTTCTACACTCGACAATAAAAAAAACATAAAATATTTGTAAAATACGGCCTCCGACTTAGTTATATACGACTCGATAAAACACTCCTACGCATGTTTTAAATAGAACTTTTAATAAAGAACTAGACAGCTTTTATTAGAGATAAAAGAGATATTTTTATGTTGTAAAATATTATGATCATTGCATATGTTTTTAGTCACCTGGTGAAGTGGTTACACTGTAGACTGTAATTCTCCCACTTTTCCAACTTTAATATGCTAAATATCATGCATTAAAGATACCTTCATTGCCGTATATAAGCATACGTTAAAGTAGCTTTGCGCTTAGTTAAGGCCCTGTACCCGGAGTGAACGCCTGAGTAGGCGTCTTGTTGTATATGAAACGATTTTCCAAATATGTCTTTTAAAATTGGAATCTTGCTTGTCCCACTCCTACAAGCAATCAGCCATATTTTTGAGATCAGTGAGGATGACCGCCCACTCAAGATCGTTGGTCACGCCCGCAATCATTCATAAACTTTGGACTTCGCTAATGCTTTCGTTTCCCCGGACGTAAATAGCCGGGGTTTATTAGTACCCTCGCCCCGGGTTTACGGCCGGAACGGCGCTCCGCGGCGTTGGCTCGGGGATTAGATTGCTTTAGCAAACGCAACGCGGGCGAGAACGTGAAAATGGCGTGGCAAGTGGGGTTTTTACTTCTGGTTTAGCCCATAGGACGTCGTTCGCGTTGTGTTTAGGACATTTAGGGGATTTTCAGGTCCCGTCTAGCACGTCACAAATTTATGCTGTTTTGAAAAAAACCCCTGAGATTTCTTACTATTGAAATATCGAAGAGCTTGGAAATCGATTCAATCAAATTAAATATAAACCAAAGTGTTTAACATTTGCTTCGATAAAGTTAAATACGAAGTCGCAAATTCAAACCGGAAATAAACGCGACGATGTATGACGTAATTTTCACGTCCTGATTGACGTCGCATTGTGTGCTAAAGCAGTCTATTGTTTAATAGGACAGAACATCTGGGGTCATGGAGAGATCCTGGACTGCGCTAGATCAAACCATGTGAATGAGACCTCTTATGGATACTGTTTAAGAAATGTCCACATTAGAAATTTAATAGGGCGGTTATTTGGAAAGTCATCCACATTCTGAAGACCACACATTTACTACTTGTTACTAGTAGGTGCAAAACGTGCAAACGCCACAGTACAAGCGTATAATTTGCCACAGTACAAGCGTATCAGAATTAACATCAATGGCTAATATAATTTCCTTTAACACTGTTTAAATAAATTGTATACTGACTTGTGTGCACGTTAAACCTTTTGACAACCCTGGAATAGTTTCGTCTTTGGTTTATTGTTTATTTGAGTCTTTATAGATTGAGTATGTATCATGCCAGTGATTCTTTGGGCGCTTGTCGTCCCAGAAATTGGCCTACTCTTGAGATATTGATACGTGATCTCCAAGATTTAATTTGTATTGGCCCATAATGAGCGGAATCCTATTGAAAAAGAATTCTATTTCTTCTGTTAAACGAAGTAAGTCATTATATATCTTGTGAAATGCTGCATTTTTTATGCAAAAATGTTTGTAATGAAAGTATATTCATCAGATACAGCCGAGTGTAAGCATAAAATGTAAACACAATCGTGCAAAGGATCACTGGCATGATACTCACTCTTTAAATAATTTCTTCCAAAGAATCCAATAAACTTTAGCCAATCTCTTAAAATTGTTGATAACATGTTAATCCAAATTAATAAGGACAAATATTTTACAACCATAACTTCCTGCAATTGTGATACGTTTGCAGGTACGAGTGATGACGATTCACAATGCATGTCGATGAATGTTCACCATGTTTGAAAGTCGGCAAATTCATTAATGAACAGTCGAAGTTTTCCATTCTTTTCAAAAACGCAGTGAAGAAAAAGCTTTTTCTCTTCGTATTTCCTTTCACAAAGGATGCCAAAGTCTCTCACAAGATGATCAATAACTTCAGCCTGAAAGTGCTCATAAACAGTAAGACTGCGGTCGTAAATCACAAGCATGTGTCGCTTACCAAATGCAACACTTTCAAAATCCGTTTGCAACTTAACAATGAATCGTTTACCATTTCGTGACCGAGGAGTACTGTAATTCGGACCAACTTCAGCAAGACCTTTTGCGTGACAATTAACACTATCGCGGCCGTCAGAACCAACCCTCTTCATTGAAGTAATCATGAAGCTGGATTTCTCGCGTAAAACTTTACACAATTTCTTGTGTTTTGACCAGTGCTCTCTTTGACAGTTCGCGTTGCAATACCCGGCAGTGAAGCACTTTCCACACCGTTTCAAATTTTCGCACTTTCCAAAACACCCAGAACACCAAGACGAAGACGATTTCGATTGGTTAACGATAAATCTTTCTCTGTTATTGTACTTTACATTTCGATCGTATTTTGCTGATTTAAAATCACCATTCGCTTCCGATACGTTTGACTCCCACGCAGCAAGACGGGGGTCTTCAAAGTTGTTAATGGTATCAACCACTGCAGGGCCAAAGTTCTCATAGACTTTGTTCAATTCAACAACTGATGGAGGGAATTCTTCTCCTGCGAGCCGTTTTCCAACACGAACTCCTCCACGTTTGTTGCGGAACACTTCGTTCATTGAAACTTTACACCAGGAATTACTTTGCGACCAAATGCCCCAAGATTCATTATCAAAAAATTTGTTCTCCCTCATATCAACTTCAGAATCCCTCACGAATATACCATTCTCGTCATTTCCAAAAATATGATTTCGCATGAGAGTAACGCACTTTGAGGCATCCAGAACTGCAACTCCTTCGCGAGCGTTGTGATAAATTTGACAATCAAATACATCACATTTTGCCGCTGTAGGTCCTATTGTCAACCCGTCCCAATGGTTGTAATACATGCGACTATTTCTCACTGTCAGTGTTCCATTTTCGCGCACTTCTAAGCCAGCTTTTGCATTACCTTTAAATATGCAGTTATCAACAACCATATTGCCAGGTCCTACACAAAGCAGTCCTCCGGCTTTGCAGTCAAAAAAATGACATCGTTCTGCGTTAAACACAGCGTTTGACGTAACAGCGGCTAAAATATCACTATTGGAAGTAAAATGGCAGTTATGAAATTTAACCCAAGAACCAGAGTAACCATTGATTTGCCCTTTCTTAATAGCAAAAGAGAGATTTGTAAACATGCATTTTTCATACAAATCAAGGCTTGCATTGCCTTCCAGTTTCAAACTAACAGAACAATCAGGTTTTGCACCAACTATGATGCAGTTATTTACAAAAATACAAGGGATGTAGCCCCTCCTAAGAAATCTGGTCGTATTCGTATGTATGATATATTCTTTTGATCCAAGTACGAGAACTCGCAGACAGTCTAGATCTTGCGTGTTGCATGACTCCAGTGCATCAATCAACTGTAACACAGTATTACATATGTCAATGCGTTCCTTTAGGCCTGAGAAGGCGTCTGTGAATGGCTTATATTCCGAAAAAATACAAATACCATCTTTTTCGTAACAATGGTAATAAGCAATAGCAGCTGCGATTTCAGCACTGACTTTCTCTCTAAGTGCCAAAGCCTTTCTAGCATATCCCTTCCAGCAATCTGGGAATCGCGATATATATTCGTTTGCATCTTTCAGAGCGTCATCAAGCTTGTTCAGTTTGATATAAGCTGAAGCACGGTTAGTCAGCAATAAAGCGTTGAAGACAGGTGTGTCCCTACTCATATCTATTGCAGTAGAATAAGCATCGACTGCTTCTTTGTACTGGCCACGTTTAAAACTCTTGTTTCCTTCTAATCTGTGCTTCTCGACATTTTTCTCTAACTCACTAAAACCAGAATCTTTGGCTACCGCACTAGGCTGTTCGTCAAGAGATTCGAGGGAATTAATAGGAGGCACACAACTTTTCTTGATCAAAATCTGAAGCAATTTCGGTAAAGGAATACGAGAAGGAAAAAGAGAGTTATCAGAAAGACTACTTTCTACTGCGGCGCACTCCACTAAAGGAATCCAATCTAACATTCGGTAAGCAAAATTTAGAGTGCGCTTAGCCTCTTCTTGTTTCTGACTAGCACTTAAGTGAACAACGCATTCATAAAAAACTTTGGCAGTTTCGAAAACGAAAAGTGAAGCTAGGCATTGTGGATCAAGAATTGCTAGCAACTTCTCCACATTCTGTCGGAGATGACGAACATGAAAACAAAGCTTAGACCACAAGTAATAATGAGAAGGACTTTTAGGCAAATCATAGGTTCTGAAGCGTTCTTCAATACCAACATTACCCAGCAGATTTTTCGGAGATGTGCATTTGGAAAATGCAAAAGAAATCAAGTGAACTGCATCAACAAAACTTTTAGCTTTTTCTTCAGGATCAAGATTTTCTCTGACTAGCTCTTGGACTAATCGATGGGTACTAACAGAGTGCGCTTGGACATACATGAAAAGTGAAAAATCAGATAACAGTTTAATAAGTCGACGACAGCCGAGAGGCGAGCTCACACAATCCCGAAATGCTTTATCTTCAATTGGACGATCACCGACATTAATTAATTCTTGTTCGATCTCATTTGGATTAAGGAATGCATACGCGTTCATAAGTCGGACATCATGTGCGCCATCCGGGCTCTCTTTGATGTGCTTGATATTTAACAACCATGTCGTGTGAACTGCGAGACGTTCAGTTGATTCATAGAGTGATACTGGCTGTGCTTTCTGTCTTTTCAGCAGCTTCAAGCGTTCGGTCTTATATTGCTCAAGGTAATCAGATAAACTGCAACTAAGTGCTTTAATACAAGCCCCTGCTTGCTCTAGAGCGAGTGGCAAACCTCCCAGCTCTTCAACGAGCTCGTTAGCGACACTGTTGTTCTTGTCATCACCAGTCAACCCGGTCCTGACAAACACGAACTGCTTCGCTTCTTCTATTTCGAGACATTTCAGACTAAGACAGCGATCTTTATGAAGACTTGAAATTTCCTCAATAAGAAGACGTTTATTTCTTCTGGTCATCAAAACAACAGCAGCGGAGTCACTGTGTCTTGAAACAATGGATAGAAATTTCAATACATTGTGCGAAAGATTTAGTTGATCTAGGCAATCCAAGACGATTAAACATGGCTTACTTGTCTGGCCAATTCTGATAAGAGTATTGGTCAACGTTAACTCGAAAGTGCCAAGTAACGCACCGAGTTTTAAAGCAGCGTCATTGACAGACTGTTCAAAAAAATTGTCATCTTCTGCCGAGAACCAATAAACACCACCTCGATAATAATTCTTCATCTTGTGAGCATACTGAGTCACCAGAGTTGTTTTACCAATACCTCCTAAACCACAGACTGCTCCTATACAAAATTTCCGTCCTTGCCCAGTTTCGTCAAGTTTTAGAATGCGTTGAAGATCTTGAAGTTCTTGAATTCGTCCGGAAAAATATTGGTTTCTGTTTGGAGCATCAAAAATATAAGGAATGTTTTCTCCTTGCTTGGTATATTTCGATAGTTCCGTACTAAACCTTTTATCAAGAAGTTTTAGTTCCTTTGAGTTCTCCGCTCCCAGCTTTTCGCACCTTTCAATTCTCAAAGTCAGCTCACGTAACTCTTCGTCCAAGACTGATTGTATGTTACCAAGTTGGTGAAGCAATGCATTCTTCTGCAATTACAAATTCATAGCAAAAGTGTTGTTATACAAATAATGAATGTTCACGAGTGCAATGGTAAAAACATTTTCACGAGGTGCAAGAGGGAATTTTATATTCATGCACCAGGCCATAGCCAAGTAGCATGAAAAAATCCATCTTATATTCAAAATAAAAATCTTTTTACTATTGCACGAATGAAAACACTCATGGCTAGAAATAACGGACACGCGCTTGTGTATAACAGTTCTTCTGACGTTCAAATTTCAAAATACCACAAAATCGTGAATCTGAATGAATGAATGAATGAATGAATGAATGAATGAATGAATGATCAGATGAAAATTCCTTTTTGTAACAAACCTGAACCTTTTTGTAACATGAAATGTTACAAAAAGGACTCTAAAACTCCTTTTTGTAACATGCAGTACTTTTGGTAACATAGAGTTTTACTTTTTGTAACATGGAGTGTTCCTTTTGGTAACATCTTGTCCTTTTTGTAACATTGAGCGTTCCTTTTGGTAACATTTCGTCCTTTTAGTAACATGGAGCGTTCCTTTTGGTAACATTATGTCCCTTTTGTAACATTGGTTGTTCTTGTTTATAACATTGTGTCCTGTCTGTCTGTTTGTCTGTTCGTTCGCTCCCTTTTGTAACATTGGTTGTTCTTGTTTATAACATTGTGTCCTGTCTGTCTGTTTGTCTGTTCGTTCGCTCGTTTGTTTTGTTTTGTTTTGTTTTGTTTTGTTTTGTTTTGTTTTGTTTTGTTTTGTTTTGTTTTGTTTTGTGTTTTGTTTTTGTTTTGTTTTGTTTTGTTTTGTTTTGTTTT